GGGTTCTTAGGTCCCAGAAGGCCATCCTCAAACCTGCTCAGGATAGTAGTTCTCACCTATTATTATTGTTGTTGTTGTTATTATTATTATTATTATTACTATTACTACTATTTTGCATACATGCTGCACACAGTAACATTTTTCATTGCATGAGCTGATTCTCTGTTGGGACAACTCTGTAGAAATGGGGAGGGACAAAGGTATTTTGAGCAATCACTGACCAAGGAGTCTATGGAATTGCTTAGTAATACCTGGTAGAGAGGGTCATTTACTTTGCTTGAAAAGTAGAGGGGTGAGAGTGTTTTTTCCTTCTCCAGACATTGCCTGGGCACCTTCCCTCAGTTTCACAGAAGGAACTTAGGGGCCCTAGGGTGAGCAGTGGGGAGTGAGCTTCTCTCATTCCCTACTTCCAGTAATTGCTGAAGAATGCCTCTGCTCACCCCAGAGAACCCTGATGCCTGTGCTCAGAGGCTGCCTAGGAAGGGTGAGGCCAAGTGAAATGAGAGTGCTGCTGCCTGCCATTCCCAGGCTCCCCAGCCTTGCTGCATTCAATTGCCTGGGGAAGGTGGGAAGGCTAATGACTCATTATCCCAGCCATTAGTCACATCACTGAGGCATGTGATTCCCTGTAGGATGGATGCCACCTGCTGCTACTCTGGCCTGTTCAATGCGGCTTCTCTCCTGCTCTGGATGGGGAGTGAAACTCCAGGAAATGGTCACTACTTTCCTATAGGTGTGGACTTATAACTGTAGCAGCCCCAAGGACCTAGAGAGGGGGATGAAAGGGTCACTCACCTGTCCACCCCAGGGCCACACAAGACCTCCAGAGACCAAGGGAACTAGCCATGGAAAGGAATATGTGGACACTGAAGCAAAGATTCCCCCACATGCCCTATACACACATCAAACATGTAGATACATCTGTCTGCATGTGCACATAGATGTATGAACACGTGTGAAAGAAAGGCTGCGCCTGGGAAAATAAGTCCTCTGAGGCCTGAGCCCGGAAGAGCTCTTGCAGGAAGCACTCTGGAGAGGGAAGGGTCCTGCCTTGTTTCCCCTCCCTGGAATGCTCTCACTTAGCTGGCTGGCCTCCAGGTTGGCCCCAGGGACTACCTAACTTCTTGACTTCAGTACAAGAGAGGGCCAAACAAAACTCTTTCTAGAACAGCGTTGATCGCCTGTCAATTACTAAAAATGAAAGCAAAAAACAGGTGAGAACCTCTGTTTTCAGCGATTATTTCCTAAGTCATCTTCTAACACTAGTCACAATAAACGATGAGCCTCGATTCTCCTGTTTCTAAGGGAACAGCATCTCTCCTCACCTCTGGGACAGCCTATGATCCTGTCTACAATGCATCCTCTTCTCTCCATGCCAGGGAGAAGTCTTGCAAAATCCCAGCCCTTATAGGTTAGCTGTAGAATAGGATCTGGGCGAAAAGGGGTGAAGAGTCAGGAATTGACAGGGATCAGGTGCCCCCCAAGTGCCAGACCCTGTGTGAAGGATTTTATGTACTTCATCTCATGTAACATTTCATACCAATTCTAAGAAGTATTCCCTATTTCACAGATGATAAAACTTAGGCTCAGAGTGTTAAGTCACTTATAAAGTTTCTCAGAGATAATTTGAGTAGCAGCATCAAGCTTCAGACCCTGTTGTCTGACTCCTCATCTATAGCATAGCACTGTTTTCAATCTGTGTGAAAAGAGCACCTGTGAGGTGAGGGAACACCTCCACCCACCTGTGCCCTCTTAAACTACAGATACACCTGGAGGAGGTGAGAGGAGCTCAGGCCAGGGTTTGGAGCCCTGGGTCCTAGTCCCAAGTCTGCCACCACATTTCTGTGATTAAATCTCTTACCTTTCTTGGGTTTTACTCTCCTCACTTGTAAAACAGTCAGCTTGGCCTCAATAATGGCCAAGTCCCTCCTCCCCACACACATACACACTAATGTTTCGAGTCTATACATGGCCAAGGTAACTAACTCCCCATTCTCTCCTACAAAGCCCTTCTTTCTTTCCTGTGGGGGTCTGTCTGCAGTAAGCAGGAACCAGACAAAGTAAGCCTAACCCCTAGAAACACAAATGAATGAAGGGAAGTCCTCCCTGCATAGGAAATAGAAATCTCTCACTCTTGACTACTGGACTCATCAATAATTCAGGGGCTGATGTCGGGTTTGATCTCTGCAATGGCTTCATCAATATTTCAGCTCCTTCTCCAGAGCCCCATTCCTTAGCAACCACATCATCCATGCTCTCAGGGAGGGCTGCTGGACTTTGTGCTCCCTGCATCCCAAGTCCTGGAGGTGTCCCTGATTGTCCTTGGGACAGGGCACCGTGGAGGTGTGTCCATGATTGTCCTTGGGACAGGGCACTGTGGAGCCACCCATGCCAACAGGAACCAGCAACTTTGGTCCTCACAGCCCCAGGGACAATGCTGCACACAAGGCATGTATGCACCAGGCGAGGGAGAGGAATGGCGTGGCATGGCAAAGCCCCTGCAGGTCCACCCTGGGCAGGAGCAGATGGACAGGGAGGGGAATTTTGGAAGGAGATTGTCTGGCCTCCCTGAGACTGATACCTTACTCCCTAGTCCTAGCCTGGATCAGGCCTTCCCTTGCTCCTCTGCCTTCCCCATGTATGGGGAAGAGGAGTGTTCTCCCATTTCTGCTTTGCCCAGGCTTAGGTGCTGATTCCCTTTGTGACCAGGCGCAGTGGAGGCTTGCCTCCTGCATCAGCTGAGACGCCGTGCTGCTGGCTTCCTGCGCAGTGACAAGATGGCAGCCCTGTTCACCAAGGTGGGGAAGACATGCGTAGTGGCTGGGGAGATTTGCCACAAAGTACAGGAGCTGCAGCAACAAGTAGAGGGCAGGTGAGCCTTAGACCAGCCCCTCCCACTGCTCCCTTCTGCTCTTTCCTCTTGGCTTTTGCTATTTCCCAGGTTGGCTTTCTGGGCCCATTTCTGCAGGGCCTTTCTGAACCAGCCTAAGGGTGGGGGTTGGCCCCTTTCAGGCACAAGGCCCTATTCCTCCACCTTCAACCCCCCGACACCCTCCCATTTCCTGGTTAGTCCTCTGGGTTCTCATCTTATGGCACAAAACTTGACTCCCAATGCCACCAATCCGGGGCTTACCCTCAGGCCTTTCACTCCTAAAGCCTATCCCCTCTTTGCAGGAAACCTTTGGTGGGCAACCAGGAGGCCCTGCGAAGACAGGGCTCTGCCAGTGGGAAGGCCCCAGCCCTCAGCCCGCAGGCCTTGAAACACATATGGGTACGCACAGCTCTCATGGAGAAGGTGCTGGACAGGGTCGTGCAGTACTTGGTGGAGAACTGCAGGTGACTGCCCCTCCCTGGGGCCCACCTCCTGAATAGTCCTTCAGCCCCACCCCTCAACATGTTTGGCTGTCCACAAAGTCTATATGCATACCCATCTCCCCATAGCACATCAAAAGCATAGACCACATCAGGTACCCCATAAAGTTCAGTCCTTGTGAGTTTATTTCTTCTTGGTGACTGACATGAATTTGGTCTTTGTGGAGACGTCCCTACTTGGTGAACTTGACTGCCCTGGAATGAGTCTAAGTGTGCCAGCAGTCCTCATCTCTCTCTCCCCTTGGCAGCAAGTACTACGAGAAGGAGGCATTACTGGCAGACCCTGTGTTTGGCCCCATCTTGGCCTCTCTTCTAGGTGAGCCTGAGAACAGAGAGGCCTATGCTGGGCAAGTGGGAGCTGAAGGGCAGGTGCAGAGGGGGCACCATCTGAGCCGGCTGTCCCTGTCTCCACAGTGGGACCCTGTGCCTTGGAGTATACCAAGCTCAAGACAGCTGATCACTACTGGACCGACCCCTCTGCTGATGAGTTGGTCCAGAGGCACCGCATCCGGGGTCCCCCTAATCGCCAGGACTCCCCTGCAAAGCGCCCAGCCCTAGGAGTAGGCAACCCTTTCCTCACCCCTTCCAGATTGTACTTATGGGCCTGTAGGGAGGGGCAGCTGGCCTCTCTGCTTCTTGCAGACACAGGCTGGGCCTCGGAGATGCCTCAAGGTAGTAGCCACCTCAGAAGAGCCTTTTCCCCACACTAGCACTTAATAAATGCGAGGAGCACACCACTGGTCCATGGCTGGAGAACAGGGTGGCTGAGAGTAAACTGGGGGCAGGAAGGACCCCCAGGGCCAACTAGAGAGGGTCTGCATGGAAGCCTGGGGTTCTCAACTTCCAGGTTTGATTTCCCAGGGCTGGGGATGATCTGGGACTTTCTGTGCAGATCCGGAAGCGGCACTCCAGTGGCAGCACATCAGAAGACAGACTAGCTGCCTGCGCCCGTGAGTACGTGGAGTCCCTGCACCAGAACTCAAGGACGCGGCTGCTCTATGGGAAGAACAACGTGCTGGTGCAGCCGGTAGGAAAGCTAGTGCCCACTCCTCATCTCCCTCCTCCAAGGGCCCCTGGACTGGAACCTGTCAGTCACGTTTGTCCCTTTCCTAAGGGGCTCGACTGGAGAGAAAGGAGAGAAGGGCCCCACCCCCACTTCACTGTTTCATACTCCTCATCCTCAGCCTTGAGCTGGCAGGAGCCAGGAATGGCATCTGCTCTGGCTAGCTGAAAATCAGGCCATCGCAGATAGAAATGGCAGCCAGCAGGCAGGGTGAATGCCCAGCTTGGGTATGGCCAGCCCAGGGTGCAGCTGGCATCTAGAAGGCTGATGGCAAAGCCAGTGACACCTGGCCATCCAGGAAGAGGCAATGTGCACATCTGGGCGGGGCCTAACAGCCTTGTGACTGGACTAGCTTGGCCTCCCCACTCTCACCTGGAGCTCGTTTTTCATAGGCTTTTCCTGGGATCCTCTCAGCCCCTCATTGTCTTTATCTTCTGGTGTGTCTTCTCCCTGTAGAAGGAGGACATGGAGGCTGTCCCTGGCTACCTTTCCCTGCACCAGTCTGCAGAGAGCCTAACTCTGAAGTGGACACCCAACCAGCTCATGAACGGGACTCTGGGGGACTCTGAGCTGGAAAAGAGGTGGGGTCTTTGGGACTTACTCCCAAGAGCCAGGGAAAGGAATGAGGGCTTGCCTCCAGGCAAGGGGATGGGGAGACCCAGCCTGCTCTAGGAGGCAGGCCTCACACCTTATCCCATGCCAAGAATTGCAGAGAGAAGCTGCCTGGAAAGATTCCCAAGCTCTCTAAGATCCAGCCAGACCTGGGCATAAAGTGGTTTGCCTGAGCCAAGCTCTCGGCAGCTGAGACTGCCAGGCTCTGTGCCATGAGGTCAGCATGGGGCCCAGAGAGACTTGGCTGGCTGAGGTCATCCTGTCTTGGCTATGGTCACACAGTTTTCAGAGTAGTTTCAGAGACATTGGGGCCAGAAGATGAAGAACACAGGATGGCTGCTCTTGGGACACAGTGACACCAATCTGGTTTCTTTTCAGTGTTTACTGGGACTATGCCCTGGTTGTGCCCTTCAGTCAGATCGTCTGCATCCACTGCCACCAGCAAAGTGAGCCTCCCTTGTCCTTGGCACCGGGGTAAGGGGAGAGACTGTCTTCTCCTAGCCACGCACTATGCATGGCCCGTCAGATATCTTGTCTTCCTTTTGTCATCCCCACACTCTAGCCCCACTGTCCTCCTACCCAGGCTGGGGGCCTGGCTGACTGGGCTGCAGTGATGACTGGGAGGTCTAAGGGAGGCCCAGCCTCACTCACCCACATTCACCCCCCAGAGAGTGGTGGCACACTTGTGCTGGTGAACCAAGATGGCATCCAGAGGCCACCGCTGCACTTCCCGCAGGGAGGACACCTGCTGTCCTTTCTGTCCTGCCTGGAGAATGGGCTTTTGCCTCAAGGACAGCTAGAGCCCCCGCTGTGGACTCAACAGGGGAAGGTACCTCAGGGCTTGGGAGGCTTTGAGTGAAGGGATGTGTGAGATGGGTTCTCTGCCCACCTCCCTTCCTTCCCCCACATAGAGCTCTTAGGAGCAGCCTTGGGTGGGACTCTGCCCTGGACAGGCTGACCACCTACCTCTCCCTCCCTAGGGGAAGGTGTTCCCCAAGCTACGGAAACGCAGCAGCATGCGATCTGTGGACGTGGAAGAGATGGGCACAGGGTGGGCCACAGACTACGTGTTCCGGATCATTTACCCTGGGCACAGGCATGAGCACAGTGAGTGTCCCACACTTCTGTGGAGGAGAGAAAGATGCTGAGGGAGGTAGGGGAGCACAGCATCACCCAGGAAGGGCAGCAGGCCAGGCGAAGACCAGTGGTTCAGTACTTAACCTCTCACTGGACCTTTTCCCTGCAAATCATCCCCCTAAAACCCCCTACCTCATCACCCCAAGACTCTTGGCTTAGCTGTTCCAAGCATCTCTGTACAGAATTCTCTTAGTCGTCCTTTTATACCCTGCCTTAGGAGAAAGAAAAAAATATGGCAAGATTAGAAATAGAAGGTGGAGAACTTTCCATTTCTCCTCAGCCCACCACCTGACCTCCACAAGGTGGCCTGGGTGCGAGATCAGTGTTTCTTTTGGAAAGGTGCAAATTATTCACTGATTTGGCTAGAGCCAGAACCCTCCTCAAACCAGCTACTGCTGAGAGGAGCCGTATCTGGAATAGAGGGTATATCTGAGGAGGGTGAGACTTAAAGCTGGGGTGGGGGGCTAAAAGGTGGCTTGGCCCTCGAAGTCCTGCCCTGCCTGGACGTACACCTCTGAGCCCAAGGGAGCCTGTCTATAGGTATCTGCCAACGCCAGAGTTCCCTTTCTGGTCAGAGTGCTCTGCTCCCCACAGGTTTCTCTGGGCCAGACTCACTGATCTTGGGAAGAAGGGCAGGGAATTTGCCAGCCCAGAGCATTTACTGCCAGCCAGACCACCTGCTCCCTAAATTTGTTAACTTGTGCCAATAAATTGTGAACAAGTGGTCTCTGTATTAGACAGATTACCCAAACTGCAAACACATAGCTACAGCACATGTAGTCCCGACAGGCTTCGAGGGCATAAGATGTGGGTATCTCCTTCCCTCTTTGATGTGCCTGACTAGGAAACATATCTTCCAGAACGTGTTTGCAAACCTGGTATTTAATCTTGAGCTGTTGCTCAGCTTAGATTATTTAGTCTGCACTTCCTCTCTTTAAGCCTTGGCATTTTCCATTTCTGGTCACTTCACTTCAAGGACCACTTCCCTGGAGGGCAAGCCGGGGCACCAAGGAGCTGAAACCCAGTGGGGTGACTCAAGCTCCTCGAGAGCAGCTCTGGGAAACCCTTGGAGGAGAAGGTTGGATTTATAGTCTGAAGAGGGAAATTTGGGGTAATCTTCAGATTTGACCCAGCCTGACCATGATGCGAGCTGAAGAATGATGAGAATCCATCTGCCAATAGTTGTGCCCAGGCTTGGCCAGGGCTGGGAGCTCCTGAGCTGCCAGCATGTCCCAACTGTCCCCCGTCTTTCACTGCCCTGGCTCCCCCCATCAGTTCTCTCTTTTCTGTTCTTTCTAGAGAGGGCCTCCTCCCAAGAGTGGAGCTCTTTAGCTGCCTCTCTCCCCCACTTTCTTCCATATTCTTCCCAGTAAATCATCAAAAGACTCAGGTCCCCACTTCCCCTCTTCCATGTCCTACAGGCTCAAGATAACCCAGACTTCATTCTACTCCCCATCAGGACAATCTGGGCCCTCCCGCCCTGGAACTAAGGTCCTCATGCTCTGCCTCTCTTGCTGTTCTCTTTGAGCAGTCACTATTAACTACCACCACTTAGCGGCCAGCCGCGCGGCCTCGGTGGACGATGATGAGGAAGAGGAAGATAAACTGCACGCGATGCTCTCAATGATCTGCTCGCGGAACCTCACAGCTCCCAATCCGATGAAAGGTTTTTATCCCTCCCCCTCTCCCTGACCTCCCTTATCACCCCGCCCCACCCCCCTGGGCCCACCTGCCACCCACCGCAGGAGCTCAAACGGCAGTGTTGGCATTATGGAACTTGCACCCAGGGTGATTCCCTTATATCAGGAGCAGATCAGGGAGGGCAGAAGAAAGTACTGGCAAGAACAGGGCACGATACAAAAGGTAGTTGGCTCTGGGCCCATTTCTGTAAGGAAAGGGAAGAAATCCACTGGTGGAAAGGCCTGATGATCTGGTTGCCCTTTGGGAACCCTGAATGGCTGAGCACTGTTCCCACTCCTAGGGGTCATGCGGGCAAACCCAAGACAGTGTCTCTTTATTTCTGTCCTGCTGGCTGGGCAGACCGGCCTCTGGGCCCTGTGCCTCTGACTCCTGACTCAGTGGAAACAGGACAGAAGTACCAGGCCCCTCTTGGGCAGGGGTAGGGGCTGGAGAGCTCATGCAGACAGGAGTCACCTGTGGGTCAGGTGAGGGGTTGGGGCCACCATGGAAGGAGACCTAGGGCTCACTTTACCCAGCAGGCCTTGTT